AATTTTGTGGATAGTCACCTAATGAGGTGCCTGTGTCTATATAAGGCAGTGGGGGAGAGCTGGTGCTGCACTTGTAATCAGTAGTTCCTTGTCACTGGCAATAAGCAAATAGCTCTTATGTCTTCCTAACCTTAAACTGAGGCTGCTCTTAACCCTGAGATTTTTTTTTTCCATCTTCTTGCCCTTACTCCAGGATTTACCTTCTCCATCTTCACTCCTGGCTTTTATCTAAATCCTATTTCTGTACTCAGGGTTCACTCTTGCTTGACATGTGTTTGTCTACCCTAATATTGATCAATTTAGCCAACTTTATCAGTCCCCTGTTTCCTATTTACAAACTGGAAGTTGGCTGCTCACACCCAACATCATATCTGTTAGCCAAATCTTTCAGTTTTCTCTTCAAAGTGTCTCTGGAACCTGATTGTTAAACTGCACCTCCACTGAGGTACTCTTGTCTGAGCCACCATCACTGCATGCCTGGTTTGTTTCAAATAGTCTCTGAAATGGTCACTCTGTTTCCGCCTTGCTCTATATGACAATCTGAAAGATCCTTACCTTCCTGATTTCATCTTATATTCAGCCCATAGTTCTACTTCAGTGGCCTCCTTAGCATTCCTCAAGACTTCTCCAACAAGCTTCAACAAGACTTCTGTATTAGGGTCTTCACAATTGCCATTCCCTCTACCTGCAAGGTTCTTCTCCAGAAAAACCTCATGATCATTTTTCTTCATATTCCTTAGATATATTATCAGGGTTTTTTTCCTCTGACCTTCTTGTATAAAAAGATACCCTATCTACCACTATCCCCCTTCCCTGATCATCTTTTATCATAATGCATCTCATATTTGAACAAAGCATATATTTATTCTTTGTGTCTTCTGGAATGCAGTCTTCATTAGGGCAAGGGTCTTTATCTGCTTTTTAAAATTTGTACTACTTAGTCTCCCACGGTTTCAAATAGCATTTGGCATCAAATGGCCCTGTAATAATGTATGAATGAAGGAGGTAAAATGAATAAATAAATCTATAGTCTATTTCTGTCTTACTTCACTGTATTGGAAGTAATATTTCTAGACCCCTCAAACACTTAAATATTAAAAGGAAATTTCAGTCCTACTCTCAGTCTAGTTGTCCAAGAAGGAAAATAAACACATAGGACAATTTTCCATGTACAAAATCACCAAATGCCCAATAAGTAAGAGGAATATTTCTGGGATGATACATCTATTTACTCACATCTCATTTCATTCCACTCATTGAGGCAACTTAGAAAAGATAACAGAATGAATTTAGTAGTAAAGTAAATGAGACAAGTAAACAGTAAGATCAGAATGAAGTTAATACCCAAAACTCTAAGAAGAGATTGCCCATCTAGATTTAGCTGTCCCTAGTTTAAAAGTGAAGAGGAAAAACATATGAGCTCAAGGTTCACAGTGTTCATGAAGTCAAACAAGCTTATGTGAGAAGTAGGGCCATTCTTGATGCTGAGACATGAGTGACACATACTCTGTTGATCAGTTTCCTTGGAAACGTCCCTTTGCTATGTCTACTAACAAGAAGACTTTAACAAAGGGAGGAGGTGGCAGGAAGATGCTCTGAACTCTGACAAAATAACTGAAAATACTAGGCACGTGATTTGCTAGCATTCCATACTTTTCCTCATCAAAACTCTTCACACTGTAACTTCTTGCAGTTTCCTGTTTTCCCTGCCAACAGGTATGATCCACGAGGGCTATTAAGTTTTATCCCCATTGCCTGGTACAGTAAGACATTAATAAACACTTGAGAACAAAAAAACAGATAAATGAATGAAGGTTAAAGTAAGAGGATAAAAACATTTTAGGGCTGTGTTGAGACATGGTGCTTACTGGAGCTGGAGTGAGTGACCCAGGACAGGTCAGCTCCATTGTGGGGAGCCTGTAGCTCAGTGGTAGAGTGCACATGCATGAGGTCCTGGGTTCAATGCCCAGTACCTCTATTTAGTAAATAAATAAACCTAATTCTGTCCCCCCCCCCAAAAAAAACAAACAAAAACCAAAAAAACAAAATAAATAAGTTAAACCAGGACAGGTCAGCATCATGGTTGGGTTAATGGTGGGCGTATCTAAGTTGCAAAGACAGTAGGAGTGTACTGAATAAATCCAAACAATCAAATGGCTTTATGCTCTGCAATGCAAATCTGGCCAGCTCAAGGAAAGCCCTGGTTCTAAAAGTCAGTATATTGATGTGGCAGATCTTAAGAAGGAGTTATAGTTAAAAAGCATTGTCCTTAAATTCCAGACTTCTTGGACATACACCAGGTTCCAGTTACTAGGTGCCACTTATTCTTAGAAATAGTGCCCTTGGATTTAGGATGGGTATCTGAAGTCTCTGACTTTTGCCCTCCACTTAGCTTGAATTTTGATCATCTTCACTTATTATTTATTTATTGAGGAACTACTGTTTAGCAAGCATTCTCTGGATGTTTGAGACAAAGTGAAAGAATCACAGCCTGCCCACAGATGCTCAAGTTCATAGTGCAGGGGACAAACACAGCTGAAAATTTGAAAACTTGTTTTTGGCATCTTACAGGATAGTTTTTTGGGAAGCCCAGTGACCTTCTAGCCAATGGCTACTCTACAAGAACGACTCTTCAGTTTTTACTTCAGGCTGCCAGCTCAGACCACAGCCTTTCTTGCCTCAAAGTCAGCCTACATGTCAGGCTCCCCGGTACTGACTTCAAGAAGTAGCCTTCGGATCAAGTGCATTCCCAGTCCAAGCATCATTTCAGGCATCCCCACTACTGCCTGCTCCAGATCATTCCCCAGCACCTGACCTGCTCTCTTTTACTGCTGCAGAAGACAGTAAAACATACTGTCTCACTTGAAAGAAGGGGTGAATCAGCTGAACTCAGCCCCGACACTCACCAGGAATATGACCTTGCAATATTGCTTAACCTCTCTGATCCACGGCCTATAATCATACGCCTTCCTCTAAAGGGTTCTGTGAAGGTCAGGGAAGATGAGATTTTATTTTCTCACTATGTGTGGCATAGCAACTCCTGTTTTCTTTCTTGGTTCCTGTGAACATAATTAGGGCCAGTAAATTATACCTGAGGGAAGAAAATAAAAGCCCAGGAAAACCATAAAAGAACTTTTTCATAAATTGGGATGGTACCTCTGGAGAGTATCCTTAAGTATGTATTGAAAGTTATAATTTACTAGTATTATTTGGTACAAAGTGATGTATCCTTTGGGAAATATGGACGAGAATGCAGTTTTCAAAATCACTCTTGCGTATTATCTTGTATTCATTTCACACTTCAAAATATAGTGACCTAAATGCCATATAGGAATACATTTATAATGACTGAGAACCACCATGACTATTAATTATTTTGAATTTAAATCTCTCAAGATGTGTATTAATCCATCTCTGTCTAGCACCCATATAAAATATTTAGCAATTAAATATAAAACTACAGGGGGAAAAAAAAGCTTTTTCAGAATGGAGAAAAAGATGATTTATCTCAGTTTTCTTTGAATAATACCACTTTCTGTATGTATTTTCGGAATAGCACTGAAGTTTGGGATGCCAGTGCACTCTTTAACTGTTGGTTTGCATTTGAAATTCTCCAACTAGGGAATCTAAAGTAGCAATTTAGTTACATTTTTATTCAGTCAATCTCCCTCACTTGCTCACACTTGCTGTTCCCGAGGCTACGAGTCTTTATTAAGGTTATAAAATGCTTCGACCTTCATAAAAGGCACAGTGACTTCCCGTGAGGTCCAAAGCATTAATGATGAGATGAAATGCAAAATCATTATCTGAGGGCAGCATCTCTCTTTCCACAGAAGCTATTCAAATGATCCAATTGAAAGGCAAACCCATCCAAAAGCTAATAAAAAATTCTCCCTGGCGGTTGAAATATTGGACAAGTTGCTTTTCACCCTACGACAGGATGTTAACTGGGTGACAGCCAAATGATGCTGCTGGTTTACTGTACTCCACCTCTGTAAGATGGGTAATTGATGGTCTTTGGGTCCAGAGGTCAAAAGTTGTTGGTGACTGTGCAGTGAGAAACTTCACTGTGCAAATGGACCAGTGGTGAGTGTGTATTACTTGCCATTGTCTCAGCGCCAAACGCTTTAAGAGTGACGCCATGCTTCATTCAAGGTTAGTGTCGCATTTGCATTCAGCTGTTCATGAAAACTTGTAAGTGCATCAGTGGAAAACTGAATGCTGACAACATGAAAAATGTCACTTATGTGAAAACCAGTTTATAAAGACAGGATCTTGCCTTCTCTTCCAAAACAAACCAGTGTGCAGCAAGGTATGTAATGTCCATAGATGATGGTGGTGACAAATGTGTCTCCAGCAAAACCAGTCTCTTTAGTTCATCATAGATATGAAGTCTATATTAAAAACAGGCTCAAGCACGTGAGAGTTGGAAAGTCCATCTTTACCTTACCTTCATGTATATAAACTTACTCTAACTTTTTGCATAATGGATGAAGAGTTCTTCATAAGTACATCAAAGTCCAAATTCCTTAATGTCAATTAGTATATTTATAATGTTCTTGGGCTCCTATTGCATAAAGTGATGACAATATATGCTATCAGAAAGACAAAAACAAATATTAAAAGGGGTCTAAAAACACCTGATTCATGAGTCCACAGAGGCCACCCGTATATAAAGGTGAAAGTGTAGGTTGATAATCATTTTCAGTGTTTCATAAAACTTACTGGAATTTATACATTTACTGGTTTATATAAGGATGAACATTATCTTTTGACTGGTTTAATACCAATTCAGGACACACAAAATATTATCATCTATGTTCTCAATAGTATTCAGAAGCTCTGGTGGTCTGTAAAGTAACGTATGGAAAATACATAGAATCTGACTCTTCTGATCAGGCTAGAGAACTAAACTTAATCCTTAATGACTATGTAGTTCTTGATGCTGTTGAAGCAATTTCTCATACAAACCAGGCATTAAAGCATAAGAAACAGAACTGGTGCTCACTTGAGCAGCACACAGGAAAAAAATTGGAACAATACAGAGAAGATCGTCATGACCTTTGAGCAAGAGTGACACAAAATTTGTAAAGTGTTCCATATTTTTAAAAGGAAAGGCTATTCCAACACACTGACTATTTTTGTACTAGAATTTGCTAGCTTATAATGTGGAATTTTCCTTTTGAACAGTATTCAAAATTTCCTCAAAAATTACTTAGACATTGGTCACTTGTAGGAGTTTTAAACTCTATTATGACAGCTACACTGAAAAATAATTGCACTGTAATTAACTTATTTTCATTTGGTTTTAAAATTTTAACAATTGCTAAACGAAACTGTTTTGGAGGAAATGAGGCGGGGGGGTGGGCAATTCTTTTGTAAGTGTAAAATAAATAAATATGTATTGAATATCAAAAAAAAAAGCCAAAATAAATGACAACAACAAAAAACCCCCAAACTAGCACTGGACTGAGAATCAGGAGATGCAGCTTCTGGTTATGACTCAGTCAATTTCCGAGACAATTTAAAAAATGCTACTGTTCGCTTAGGTTTTTAATTTCTAATCATCCCAGATAATTTCCAAGGCCATTTCTAGGTTTGAAAGTCCATGGCGAAGCTACATTCTTGGTTGTTGAATGTGCTTATTGTTCACAAGAAGGATAATCAGGAGATCATGACCCTGCAGCTAGTGTGTTGGGACTCC